TCCCCCTCCCCTCCCCTTCCCTTCTCTTCCTGTGAACTGACATACACTCTTCTTCTGCTCACATTTTCTGGTGAGGAGAGAGTCAAACTCTTTCTTCAGACTCAGCAAGTTTGTCAGAGAAACTGGCCTCTGGGTTTGGTTCTGGTTCAGCACAGATTACAAAGTGGAAGGATGTTGAAATGAGGATAAAGGGCATTTAAAATGGCATCAGTAATCCAATTTGGTGAAATAGGAGTAGTAAATTACTTTTTATTGCAGTTCATCCTAATTCCATTTTAAAGCAAGCGGACTTTAAAGGAAGATGCTTTGGTTGCAGAAGGCATTTGATACGATTGCCTTCATAGTCTTCCTAGCAGAGACACAGACTTAGCTCTGTGATCTGTGGAATTTTCCCCAAGTCAGATTCCCTTTAAATGTGGACCTGGGCCATGGGGAAAGATGGAGAATCTGATAGTCTACAGATATCAGAAACTTCCTTCTCACTTTTTCTCTCCATATTTCCAATTCATAAGTCTTTTGGAAAAACATCTAGACATTTGTTTCTAGTTGAGATAAAGTGTAAAAGTTCATTGCTGTCACCATCACCATGTGAATAGGTTGGATAAGCTACCAAATCAGCCTTGTTCAAAGCTTATCAGAGAACTGAAGGTGCAGAGAAGTTGAACTGACTTCCTGAGTGTTGTGAAAGAGCCCTTGCCTGAAGTGTGATGTGAGGCTGCCTTGATCATAGGGGTCTGATGTGGGGAGAGCAAACTCACTATGCATGGTGGAAGTCGGCAGTTGCAATGAGAAGGCAGCTTAACTTTTAACAAATGTGCACAAACTGCATGGTGAGTTAAATCCCCAATGACTCAAAGGCATAATGACATTCATATGCCAATTCTCATCAACAAAGCCTTTGTCAACCTCATGGCCTTGGCTTGGTGAAGGCAGAGGATTGGGAAGAAGAACAATTAGATCTTCATAGGAGTCCTCGTCAAAAATTCCTTCTAACCTGATCTTCCTCAAGTATAGAGCAGCAGCAAGGACAGGGAAGGAGGATGGAGGGAGACCCTTCAAGGTATCTGCCCACCTCTTTTTTATAAAGGGGAACATCATTAAGAGAAGATGACATGTAAAACAGCAGATGTGAGCCTTAATGGGAGAAGGGACATAGGCAACAGAACAGAACCAAAAATGGCTCAGATGTTAGAATCAGAAGACAGAATTTTTTTTTTTTTTTGGTACCAGGGATCGAACTTGGGACCTTGCACTTGCGAGGCAGGCAGCAGAACCACTGAGCTAAATCCCTGGCCCAGAAGATAGAAATTAAAAAAAAAAAATGTGACTCTTGCTAAAATGTTCACGGGAAAAGATGAGCAAAATACATAAACAAATTTGGAAATTTTATTAGAGAATCTGAAGTGCTACAGAAGAATAAAACGAGATTCTAGCACTGAAGTAATTTTTTTTGATTCTTGCTATGTAGTTTAGGCTGTACTTGAACTCACTATGCAGCCCTGACTAACCTTGAACTTGTGACGATCCTCTGTCTCAATCTTCCATGTGCTGGAATTACACACATGCACCACCTTGCCTGGCTATAAAAACTCATTTGAAGGACTTATCTGCAGACTGGATATAGCAGAAGAAAAGTATTTAGTGAGTTTGAAGGCAGATAAATAAAATATATCCAAACTGATGTAGAAAGCCAAAAATTAAATGAAATTTGAGTTAAATTAAAAAGTTAAAAACAGATCATCAGAGAACTAGAAAACAAGATCAAACACTATGACACAGATGTAACTGGAGCCCTTAAGACTGGTGAGAGAAACTGGGGCCAAGGAAGTATTTTGAAAGAATTGTGTCTGAGAATTTTCAAAAATTGATGAAAAAAATCAACTCACAGATCTGAGCTTCACAGGAGAACCCAAGCAGCAGAAACACAAAGAACACACACAAAGGCACACCCTGGCCTTGCTGCTAACAACCAAAACTCAACAGGATCTCTTTAGCACTGCCAGAGAAAAGGGGCACACATTTAAGGATGGAACAGTAAGAATGACGGCTGACTTCTCTTTAAAAACAGTGAAAGCCAGAAGACATGGAATGGTTTCCTTAAAAGGCTGGAAAAAAATTCAAAACACATATTTCAAAAATGAAGGGAAAAGAAAGATATTTATAGACAAAAACAAATCCAAACTCAGCAAACTTGAGTCCAGTAGAATTGTGGTATAAGAAATCATACAGGAAAAAAAAAAAAAAAGAAATCATACAGGATATTCTTAAAGGTAAAGGAAAATGATTTAGGGGAAGCCTGGATCTGTAGAAAAGAAGAGCTCTGGAATGGGTAAATTGTGTGTGTGTGTGTGTGTGTGTGTGTGTGCATTTGCATTGTTTCATTTGCTAAATATAGGTTTATATTTACCCATATATCTAACACTTTTGCTCTATTTTAAATAATGAATACTGTAACAAAACGCCTGGGATGGGGTACTGTATAAAGAAAAGGAATTTATTTAGCTTACAAGTTGGAGGTTGAAAGTTCAAACAGCATAGTGCTGGCTTTGGCCAGGGTCCCCTGAGTGGTGAGTGACATGATGACAGGCAGCACTGTGAGAAACTGCACTGTGAAACAGGAAGACAGAGGCCTGGAGGGGCTGGTCTTGCTCTTTTACACCAACTCTCTCGGGGGACCTCTCCTCCGGTACCCACATTCATTTCTTCTAACGATGTCTTTATTTCCCACCAGGCCCCACCTTCTAAAGGCTCCATTGCCTCGCACATTGCTGCACGGAGGACCAAGGTCCCAGCACCCAAAGCTTTGGGAGACACTTTTAGACCACATCCAAATCACAGCAGGGTTCAAGTATCCAAATTCTCATGCATATGCAGTTTTCTATTCTGCTTCTATTTCTTAATATCAGAATTTTCACTCATAATTAAATATTTTGTAAAAAAAAAAGTTATTGCATTGGCTTTGTCACATCCCAACAGAAATGTATCAAAATGTGTTTGGTTTTCTATTGTTTGGTTTTTACATGCATTACAGTTTTTCCTCATTGAATATAGTGCAATGAGCATCTCTGTATTTAATTATTTATCTGGACATCTGAATATTTCTCTAGGATTAATTCTGCAAAGCAGAAAGACTAGGACAGAGGGTCTGCCTGGCATTGCTGTTTTGATAGAAACGGGAGCTGTGAGGAAGCCAAATTCTTTCGCCAGTTTGTCCTCAGGACACAAAGAGTTGTCGCTGGTGTAAGGTCACTGTTATGGCTTGTGTTTGGATATCCCCCTAAAGCCTCATGCTCTTTCAGAGGTGGCTGAATCTAGAGTGTGTGATTGACTCATCCTGTGGCTAGGCTGAGGGCACTAGGATTAAGGGCGTGAGTGCTGCTTACCCTAAGTAGTCTGAATAAGAAAGACCTCTTAAAATCCCTTGTTACTTTTGTTACTTTTTGGCCACCGTGAACTGTTGCCCCTCAGCCTTGGAGCCAGCGGATCATGGACTGAAACCTCTGCAAACTGTAAGCCAAATAAACCTTTCCCCCTGTTACTTTGGATATCAGGTATTTTGTCTCAGCAATGAGAGAAAAGTAACTAACACAGTCACTGTGCATTGGGAATTCAGGAAGTTTATACTGCAAGCAATGTGTCAGTCCTTTCCCTGCACTGTTGGGGAAAGCTCCCTGCTCAGCAGCAGATACAGACGAGTCTTCCCTTGCAGGTGGAGTTTCTCAGACCAAGCTGCATCCCAGGCTAGCAGGATTCACAGCTGCAGGTAATTTGGAAATCAGATCCAGGTGGCTCCTGAGCCTGCTGACTCACAGCACTACTATCTTCCCCCTTCTCCAGGGCCCTCTAAGCAAGAGGGTCTGCTGTGTGCTTCTCAGATGTCACCAATTGGCTGAAGGTTTTTGCTCAATTCATACAGAAATCTTACTCCTCTCCACCACTCCCTGGCTGCCAGCCAGCCTCAGTGTTGCCAGCTCTAGCCCCGGGCTGCTCTCAACACCAGCAGCCTCGGGTCACCAGCTCAGCATGCACTACTTGAGACAGTCATGAATAGGCGGGAATACACTGTCCAGGAGAGGCTTTCTTAGAATTTACAGCTGCAGCACTGCAGCCTGAGGGACAACTGTGCATAGACTGGTCTACTGGAGGTTGCTGAAACGGAGTCCTGGGCAGGGGAGGGCCCCTCACGGACCTGACTGAGGAGAGACACAAGGGGGCTGCAGAGGCATCTGAGACAGGCCTGTCACTGCCATCAGCTGCTGCAGCAGCAACTATCTCCTGATGCATCCACGGCCCAGCCACGAGGTATTTACAGCAGCTGCAGAATAAAAACACCCATGGGGAGCACCGGGGCCCTCTTCCCCATCTCAGTGGCACATTAGCACCCCAGGTGGCATCCTCAGAGCAGTCTAATAGGAATGCCCACTTACCAACACAGGCACCTGTATTTTCTTTTTTAATGCCTCAGCTAATTCCAAAGGCAGTTGGCATAAAAAGCACCACTTTAAAGGAAACGAGTGTTTGTTCGGCCAGTTGGCAGCAGCCAGTTGAATTTAACTGTTGACCTCTTTGGTGCCTTGGAACTTTAATTTCTTAGAGAATGAATTTGCTTCTCATCATGGTTGTACTTCAGGATTTGGGTTGATAGACAAAACACAGGATTATTAGTTAAATATGAATTCAGGTAAACAACAAAATTTCTTTTAGAGAAAGCATTTCCTAAATATTATACAAGGCACGCTTATACTAAAAGTTATTGGCTGCTTATCTGAAATGCAAACTTGACTGGGTGTCATGTAGTTTTACTTGCTAAGTTGGCAAGCCCCTATCCCGGTTATACTGCAGGATACCCCTGACTTTCCATGGCTGTCCCCCACTCTTGCTGAGGACCAGTACTGGGACTCTGCATGACAGGGAGAGATTTCTGTTTATAGTGGGTTTCAGGCTCTGATTTTGGTGGGACTGAAAATTACATCAATCAACCAGAAATAATAAAGGTTTCTGCAAAGAGACCCTTCAAGGTACTCACTAAAGTCTTCAGAAGCCCTGACCTGTCCTGAAGAGTATTTTGGGGAATTTTCTTGTGCTGGGAGAGGGTTCCTAAAAGCCATAAAGTAGGTGAGAGTCTCTTCAGAAGTAGGGAGGGGAGGAAGCGTTTAGCACTCGTGCCCGCAAGTGAACAGAGCCATCCTCCCTGGAGAGAAACCTGTGTTCAAGCAGAAATCACTTCAGCTTGTTAGTTATAGTTGGGTAAGGGCAGTGGACACCTCCTATCCTGGAAAAGGCATGGCAGGACATCTTAGTTTGGTGTGTGTGTGCTGAGAAAATGCTTCTCCTGTTAGTAGTCACTCTGATGGGTGAGCCAATCCATACAAGTTTCCCAGGGGCTCTTTTGGATGTAATGGCCCCTAGACCACAAGCTCAGTGGCTCAGAGCAGTCGGCTAGAAGTGAATCCCAAGGGGTCCAAAAGGGACTCACCAGGAAGCAAGGTGTCTTAATTATTTTTTTTTTTGTTGCTGAGACAAAATACCCAACACCTAAAGTTAAAGGAGGAAAGGTTTATTTGAGCTCATGATTTGCAGAGGTTTCACTGCATAGTTGGCAGGCTCTGAGGCAGGACGGCATGGCAGAGGGGCATTGAAGAGGAGAAACAGTCCATGGCAGGGCAGGTAAAAAGCAGCAAGCCTCCCTTTCCCTTTTATCCCATTTAGGCTATAAGCCTTTTGGGCGGTGCCACCCACACCCAGGGTGGACCTTCCCATTATCTGCACCCAGAACTATGCTAAACCAATAAGTGTGCTAATTTAGTTATCATACAACCTTAATCTACACTCACCCTTAATCTGCATTCACACATCCTAGGTCCAGCCACCTCTGAAAAGCCCCACTAGGAGCTCATGAAGCTTTGGGGGGACATCTAGATACAAGCCAGAACACAAGCAGGAGTCTGGGCTGGTGCTCCAGAACCAATGCAGAGCTGGAAGCCCCTTTGGATGTGGAGTTCCCCTCATCCTTACCCTACACACATACATACACAGGGTGACTTGAATAATATCTAGCACATAGATAAGAACTACAGGAGCGAACCATCAGAGCCCCAGCGTGAGTTCTCACTGTAGTTTGGACAAAGTCCTGGGGCAGCAAGGTTTACTAGAGCCTGGTCAGCACAGGCCCCTGAAGATTGGTCTTCTGCAGATTGGTCTTCAATAGCGACACCTGGTGGCAGTATGTGGCAATAGCAGCATAGGGCTGAGCTTGTCCAGAGATCAAGACTAGAAAAGCAAGATTCTTGGCTGATAGGGAGAAGAGGAAAGGCTCAGGAAAGAGATCCTGAGCTTCCTGTACATGCAGGAAGGTGGGTGTTTAGGCCATTATCAGACCTGGCTCTGCTGAGTTTGCATCCCTGCTTTATCATGATCTGTGAGAAGCTGTCAAGTTATTGCAACTCTTTCTGCCTCAGTTTCTTAATCTGCAGATTGGTAATATTAATAGTGCCTATCTTGTGCAGTTGGTGTAGGATTAAATGCACTCATGCATGTTAGAATACTTCTGGCACATAGTAGTGCACAGTAAATGTTGGAGGCTGTTGCTCTTTCTATTATTGAGAAAGATAAAAGAGATGGGGCCATGTTGGCACCCAAGTTAGCCGAGGCTATAGCAAGCTACAAAGGTAGGTATCATGGCTTCTCTGTAGAAAGGATGAGACTGATTCTAGGAAATGCAAACAACTTGCTCAAGAGCAGACAGGTCTCATTTAAACTCTGGTCTGATTTGCATTTTCCAGAAGCTTCACATTACCAAATCTAAAAGCCAATGAGCTAAAAGCCATGATGCTTCAGCTACCGGCAGAGTCAGATCCAAAGTCACTTGTATTGCAAATGAATCCGACACCCAAATGAATCCTTGGAAAAACATCCCTAATTCTACCCCTTTTGAGTTTTGTTCCTGAATCTACCTTCTTTCCATCTTCAGTGGTTTTGCCTTAGTTTACCCTCATCTCCTGCCTGCACTGTGTGGCCTTCTCCTGACTGGCTTTCTTCCTCTTTTCTCTGCTCCCTGCAGCCTCTCCTCCATTTCTGTAGAAGGGTGCCTTCAGGTCTAAAGCATATGCCCTCAGGTATGAAACAAATGGGAAGGAAACAAATGGCCTTTATACACTATATTGATGAATCAATCCCATATTCTTTTAGAAACCTAAGACATTGCTGAGTGCTATAGAGCAGAGGTCTCTAATCCACAAAGAAAAACGTTACTACTGCCAGAGTTTATGGAGGTGGCTTGTGGTGATATCAGTGGGCCACAGCTCGGGTTGGAAAGCTTAGGTGGGTCCTGCATGGCAGGTCTGAAGCCAGAGCTCTGGGGCGTCCTGAAGACACACAGGGTGCACTGGGAGCCCCAGAGCAACTCCTCAGCTCTTCTGGCTGATAGGGGTAAGATAGACAGGTTAGGCACTCCTAACCAGGACACCTTGATTCAATCCCAACAAGCCCTTCAGTCCCTCTGTGACAAAGCTGACTCTTCTCTAGGACAGGGAAGTGGCAGCACATCTCCTAACCCAGTTGTCAGGAGAATCCAATGTCTGCAAAATGCTTGGAGCCATGTCTGGCAGGTAGCAGGCAGCACACTTGTGCTGGCTGTGACTGTTAATCCTGACATCAGCTTCACTGGGTTAAGAAGCACCTAGCAGATTGGTGAAGCCTGCTCCCGGGTGTGTCTGTGTGGGTCACGGACGTGCGAACTTGGGTATATATAATGGTTCCTTCCCTGCTGGCACTGTTTGTTTCTGGCACTGTTTCTCTGCTCTGGTTCTCGGCTGCCATGATGGTTCTGCTAAGGAGCTAGCTGATCATAGACTGAAAATGTGAGCCAAATTAATCCTCTCCTCCCTTAAGTCATGGGTGCTGGGTGCTATGTGTCCTGGCAATGGGAAGGCTGCCCAATACACTGGCTCCTGTCATTGTCACCCCAGGAAGCTCAGTCCTATTGTAATGAAAATGAGCCCCATGAATT